CAGGAGGAGACGACGAAGGAAGTGCGGGAGAAGAAACGAGGAAGGAAGAAGAAAAGAGACCTTGGTTTTGCTGCAAAAACGCAATGCAAGTGTGGAAGTGCACAAGGCAGCCTGAGTTCAGGACTCAAGGGGTGCAGAAGCTACATTCAATCAGACTTTCACCACCCCAGCCCAACCCAAACCCGCGCCTGTTGATCCCCACCTACCCATTGGTGAGGGCCCCTCACTGCCCATCCACCCACGTCCCCCCCCTTCCCCGCGCTGCTGATGCCCCCCCCCTCGCTTTTGATACCCCCTCACCTCGCTCCTGATGGCCTCCTCCAGCTCCTCCTTCCTCTCCGGTGACATCTTCTCCTCGCGCCTCTTCACCAGCAGGTGCCGGATCCTGGGCGCACAAAGGACAGAGGGGGAGGGAGAACGGTTGAGGGCGAGGGAAGACGGGGACTGAGAGCTGAATGAGAAGACAGACGAGGACACATACAGCTACTGCCGTTTCTCTCATGCATGGTTGTCGGAAGTCGGCTGATGTCATTTGCAAACTGAGACAGCAGCAAATATTCATCTCTCCCTACGCCCTTACCCTTCCCCCCCGCGCACGCCTCCTACCACGCTCATTCTCCCACCCCCAAGCCCGCACACCACTACCACCTCCCAACCCACTCCTCGCAGTGCACACCAAACCAATCCATCCTCGCCTACTCCTCCCCTTCCCTCTCTCCCCCCTCTCCCCAACCCTCCCCCAAACCCTCCCCCTAACCCTCCCCCAACCCTCCCCCCTGCCGCGCACGCACCTGGCGTGTTTCTGCAGCAGCGAGCGGCGGATGGACTGCGTGGGGTGCGCGGTGAGCACGATGTCCACGCGCTGGCGGCACAGCGCCTGGTAGATGTCGTCCACGGTGAGCCCCTGCGCGCGCAGCTTCTCAAACGTCTCCGTGATGGACGACTCCGTCAGCGCGCTGCCCTCGTCCTCAATCGCGCCGTGCCGCTCACTCACCTTCCGCTGCCGGTACGCCATCTGCACTCCCTCTGCCGTGATGGGGAAGAGGGAAGGGGGGGGAGAAGAGGGAGAAATGAAGTGAGGGAGGGGAGGGGTAGAGAGGGGGAGAGACAGAGAGGGGGGAGGAGGGTAAAAGAGAATGACAGAGGGCCATGGAGGAGAAATCTCCGAAGGTGCAGGGGAAAGTGGAGAGAACCACAGCTTGGAAGTAGTGGGACGTCCAGAGGAGGAACTGTCGAGCACAAAGAACCAACTGTACCAAATTTCTAGGGATTGTGACAACCATAGATTCAGCTTCGTAAAGAAGACCCGCCATCAAGACATCAAACCCATAAAGCCATCAAACCCCTCCCCCCAGCAGCGCACCGGCGACGTTGTGGAACGTTAGCATGTGCGAGAGCGCGGAGGCGCACAGGATGGATGCGGCGGGGTCGAGCGACGCGATAACGGCCTGCAGGCGCTCCAGGTCCGCGGGGTCGCTGCTGCGGTTGTACTGCGCCGACAGCCCGTACACCGTCTCCACCTGGGGGCGAGGGGAAGGGGGGGGGGGGGGGAGGAGAGCAGAGAACGGAAACGGACCAGTCAGTACAGAAACTGAGGACGGGCTGCTGGAATTTCCTGCTGCTGTTCATGACCTGCAGCCAGAGACAGGAAAAAGCAAGTTGCCTGAGGGAGAGAGATGAGCTCAATGCTCCTGATCGTCTGGCACGGCACGTTAGGGCGTGGTGCCTAGAATTGCGCAACCCGAATCGTGCAACTAGTTGCGGTGTTCACCAAGAATTTTTGCCCAAAATGGACTTCAAAATTCCTCAAAATCTTTCGAAAAGCGTAACCAGCCCAGATTGCGCAAATCGGGCGAGTTGCGGACCTCTAAGCACCACGCCCTAAGATCCTCATCACGGAATTCTGGCGTCATGGCGAAAGGCTGACGTCATGACGAGATGCTGACGTCATTCCGAACTCCCAACGTCCTGATGAGTTAGTCATATCCTTACTCATGACAAATTTCTCGCGCCATGACGGAATTCTGACGTCCTCGTGAAATCCTTATGTGCTGCCGTCATAGCGGAAACCTGAAGTCATGACGAAATTCGGACACCATACGGAAAATATGACGCCCTGATTATCACGACATCATGACGATTTTCTCAAGCCCTGATGAAGCCATCGCAAAATTTTGACGTCCTGATGAAAACCTGACGCCATGACGGAATTCTGGCCTCCTCGGGAAATCCTGATGAACTTTTGACTTCATGACAAGAACTGGGGGCGCGCAGTCCCCGAATCCACTTGAAAGGGGGACATGTCTCGGAATCAAGGGGGAGGCATCATGAGCCGAGAGTCACATGGTATTCATTCCAGCCTGCCAGCTCGAAAGAAATCAAACGGCAAGCAATACATGGACGCGAGAGCACGAGAAGACTTACTGCTTCCGCGATGTCGTCGCCTTCGAGCTCGCGCAGGATGGAGAGCAGCGAGTTGGCGAGCAGCTCCTCGTCCTCCACGATGATGTCGTCGTCCGCCACGCGCTCGTTCACGCGCTCCAGCGCCTCGTGCACCGACAGATGCTCGGGGAACGTGTGAATCCGAGTCAGCACCGGCCCTTCTCCGAGAGTACCCATGGCTGCTTGCTTGTGTGAGATGGAGGTATATCTAATCAGAAAATGTTCGAGATGGCGGGCAAAAGGCTCACTAATCAGGCTACTCGGATAGGGAAATCGACAGATGGTCGTAGCTGGAAATCATCTAGGGGCCTTTGAGACCTGACTGGAGAGCAAGAAAAGTGAAGGCATCCAGTTGGTGAAAAGGGGGGGCGAATGAAGGATTCCTGGAATTTAGAGAAAAGGGAGAAGTCCTGGAAAATGGCGGGTGCGAATTGTCAGAATGGAGAGAACGTTGTCTCAATACGGTAATACACTTCCATTTGATCATTTGACAAACAAAGTCTTCAAGCAATTCATCTTAGCGCCCCAATACACCCCTAAGCAGGGCCTCAGAAGTCAGGCCAAAAAGGCCTGAAAGCCTGTATATCAGGGTGTTTTCTAGGGCATACCCTGATTTTTCAGGTTTTGATTTTTATCAAACCTGAAATTTATGTGTTCCCGTTTTCTAAGGCCTGAAAAATAGTATGTCCTTGTTTTACCAAGCCTGACGAATCAGCCTTACTCGAAATTCGCCCTGAATCTGAATCTTATCTGCCAAGGCGAGCTAGAGCACGTGTGAGGGGCATGGCTGGTCCTTGACCAGAATCACGCAAGTTCGAGGCGAGGTGGGGCAGGTGTGAGGGGCGTGATTGGTCCTTGACAAAAAATGACGCAAGTTCGAGGCGAGCTAGAGCAGGTGTGAGGGGCGTGATTGGTCCTTGACCACAATAACGGAACTTCAAGGCGAGCTACAACAGGTGTGAGGGGGCGTGATTGGTCCTTGACCAGAATCACACAAGTTCCAGGCGAGCTGGAGGAGGTGTGAGGGGGTTGATTGGTGTCAAACATGTGTACTTGTTATGTTTGCATAGACTGTATAGGGTCATCTCTTAGAGGGTACAACACTTAGGTATATCTATCTGTACTCTCACTCTACCCATCATTCACTTCTCTAATTCTGATATGGTATCACGCGTAGGTTAGGATCCCCCCACCTACCGCTTCCGCTCGTTCCCTAGCTAGGCCCCGCCGCGCCTCCCCCCGACCCCCCTTGGGCCCCGTCGTGCCCCTAGCCCTGCCGCGCCCCTCCTGGGCCCCGTCGCGACCCTCTAGGCCCGTCGCGCCTCCCTGGGCCCCGTCGCGACCCTCTAGGCCCGTCGCGACCACCCCTGGGCCCTTCGTGCCCTAGCCCTGCCGCGCCCCTCCTGGGCCCCGTCGTGCCCCTCCTGGGCCCCGTAGCGCCCCTGCAGTGATCTTGCGGACCACCAAGTGACCTTGCTGGACCAACTCCGAACGAAAAAGTAGCGGAGTTCAATGTGCTTGGAGCGGCCATGGAAGACAGGGTCCTTTGTGAGATGGATGGTGCTGGCGTTGTCGCACCAGAGAGTGGGACAGCGCTGAGGAGCACCGATCTCAGCAAGGAGGAAGGTGAGCCAGCGAGCCTCCTGAGCGGCCATGGTGCAAGCATAGAGCTCAGCCTCACAGGATGAGAGGGCGATGGAGGAGGAGCGAGTGGAGCGCTAGCTGATGAGGCCGCTGCCGAGGGTGAAGCCGTAGCCCTGAGAGGAACGGTGATCGGGCTGGGAGTCAGCCCAGGAGGAGTCACTGAAGCCAGAGAGGAGGGGAGGAGAAGAGCCTCCGAGGGTGAGGACATAGTCCTTGGTACCACGGAGGTAACAGAGTACCCGCTTCGCTGCAGCCCAGTGCTCATCAGTGTGGCAACCGGTACCGACGAAGCGAGCAAGAACACTGATGGGGTAGGCAAGGTCGGGGTGGGTGCACATCATAGCGTACATCAGCGAACCGACGAGCTTAGCGTAAGGATGGTCAGAGGAGGAGGGAGCAGGAGGAGGGGCAGCTGGTGGTCGGTCTGCAGGGGAGTGGTAACCGGCTTGGCCTGCGCCATGTCGAACCGCTGCAAGACTGTCGATATAGAAGACCGAGAGAGGGTAATGGTGCGTGATGCGCGGTCCCGGGGTGATGATCATGCCTTGCTAGTGCTTGAGCTCACACAGGTCCCTTGCACTTGAGGCGAGCATGCAGGGCGTCCTTCGCTTGCTGCATGGCGGCAGCATCGTCAGCGAACAGGATCATGTCGTCGACATACACCAGGATGAAGAAGCGGGTGGGAGAGGAGCGAAAGAAAAGGCTGTCATCAACTGAGAGGCATAGAACCCTAGGGACTGCAGAGTGGCGGCCAGCTTGTTGTGCCACTCGCGAGGAGCCTGCTTGAGGCCATAAACCGAACGGCGCAGCTCCCAGACTGCGTTGGGAGGGAAGGCTGCATGAAAGCCTGGAGGCCGCCGCAAGAGGACCCGCTCCTGGAGCTCGCCTTGCAGGAAGGCATTGGAGACATCCATGGAGGCAATCTCCATGCCAATGTGAACAGCATAGTCGAGGATGGCACGGAGAGTTGGGAGCTTGGCAGTGGGAGAGAATGTCTCCCAGTAGTTGATGCCATGGGTCTGGGTGAAGCCCTTGGCACAATACCGGGCCTTATAGACCGGCTCCTCACCCGGCAGCTGCTTCTCTCGGAACACCCACACGCCTTCAACAATGATGTCGTCAGGAGAGGGGACAATGTCAACGAATGAGGCATTGCGGATGAAGGCCTCGCATTCAGCAAAGATAGCCTGGATCCACTTGGCAGCATCGGGGCAGATGAGAGTGAGAGTACACACAGATATACCTAAGTGTTGTACTCTCTAAGAGGCGACCCTATACAGTCTATACAAACATGACAAATACACATGTTTGACACACCCCCTAGACTGCATAGGGGAATGCCCTAAACAAACAGCTCAGGGCGGCACTACTAGTCCAACCTCTGAGACATGGGTCTGAGAGACCAGTCAGAAGGAGTACAAACAAGGCAAGAACAAGAGCAGGGCGGCACTACTAGTCCAGCCACTGGGGAGAGGACACAAGTCCAGTCTGAGTATACGTATAAAGGACAGTACAAAGTCAAGGTCCTAGCAAGTGAGAGGCTACAGGAACTAGACCAAGCTGTACACAGTGCCACTGATGATCTTTAGGCGCAAGCGCCTTCGTAAAGATATCAGCCGTGTTGGCACCTGAGGCCAAGTGTACTACGCGAGCCTGACGTCGCTGCTGTAGCTCACGCAGGAGGAAGTACCGCAGCTGAATGTGCTTTGCTCTGCCCCCTCGAGTCGAGGCTCCTGACACAGGAGGATCATGGCCCTGTTGTCAGCGAACAGGACCGGGGGCAGAGCTAGGCCGCTCACCTAAGTCAGTGAGCAAGAAGGTCAGCCAGCGGAGCTCCTGTGCCGCCATGGCACCAGCGTAGATCTCAGCCTCACAGCTGGACTGCGCTACAGACGAGGAGCGGGTAGCTCTCCACGAGACGGCAGCTGAGCCAAGGCTGAAGCAGTAGCCCTGGGTAGACCTGAGCGTCTCAGCGTCGTCTGCCCACGAAGCGTCTGTGTGTCCAGTAAGGACCACAGGCCTGCGTCCTCCTAGCACTATTCCCATGCCCGATGTACTAGCAAGATAACGCAGAACCCTCTTAGCGCAGACCAGTGCTGCGGTCGGTGTCTGCCTGTGGCCACAAAGCGAGCCAGGATGCTGAGAGGGTATGCGAGATCTGGGCGAGTGCAAGTCATCAGGTACATGAGGCAACCCACCAGCTCTGCGTAGGGGCCGCTGGGCTCTACCAACTCCTCAGACACTGGAGCGGAGAGTCTGTGGTCTACAGGCAGAGGGGTGGGCTGTGCAGAGGAGAACTGAAGGCTGAACCTCTGAAGGACCTGGCGCACCAAGTGTGACTGAGTCAGGGTGATGGTGCGCGCAGCTCTGTCCCTGGAGATCTGCAAGCCAAGGTAACGGCGCAGTTCTCCCAAGGTCAGTGCACGTGTGTCTCTTCAGAAGCTCTGCCTTCACGGAGGCCAGTGCGTCCCCTGTCAGCTGTGGCAAAGACCAGGTCGTCGACGTAAACAAGGATGTAGAACGGAGTCTGGCCAGCACGAAGAGTGAAGGGTCTGCGGAAGACGGAAAGAACTGCAGGTCAGCAAGCGTAGCACGGAGAGTGTCCGTGCCACTCACGGGGAGCCTGGCGCAGGCCGTAGACGGGGCGCCGTAGGAGCCACTGGGTCCCAGGAGGGGAAGGTGCCAGTGAAGCCCTGAGGGCGCCGCAGGGTAGACCCTGCTCGTGTAGGCTGCCCTGAAGGAAGGCAGTGGAGAAGTCGAGGGAGTGAAGCTCGTAGTCACGCTGAGCAGCTAGGTGTAACAGAACCCGAAGAGTAGTCATCTTCGGGGTCGGAGCGAAGGTCTGGAAGAAGTCCACCCCCTCGCGCTGACTGAAGCCTCTAGCCACATAGCGCGCCTTGAAGACAGGCGGCTCTCCAGGAGGGCGCTTCACCTTGAAGAGCCAGCGGCCATCGACTACGTTCACCCCAGGTGGGGGAACTGCGTCGACGAAGGTGCCGGTGGATCTCCAAGATGCCATCTCCTGCTCCATGGCAGCTATCCACTGCGAGGCCCAGGGTCCCGAAGTCGCCTCAGCGTAAGTGCGAGGGGTCGGGATGTCGAAAGCGTCTGGGTCACCCTCAGGGACTAGCAGCATGGAACAGAGATGGGGAGCAGCCTCGAGAGGAAAGCAAGCTCGAACTGGCGGTCCTCCAGGACGTCACTGCCAAGGGCAGGAGCACCCCCGACAGACGGAGGACAGGCAGGGTCAGAGACCAGAGCGGAGGCGTAGTCAAGGCGGCGGGTAGAGGCGAAGTCAGCGACAGCAGCGACAAGAGCGTCAAGGCACGAGGTCGGAACAGACGGGTCGGTAACGAGAGAGGCAAGGACCCGAGGAACAAGGGGAGCGGCACGAAGGTAGTCAGACAGCGGGGGGGTGCAACAACAAGGGAGGACGGAGGAGGCGACGGCAGAAGGGGAGGACGAGACGCGTGGGAACGAAGCAACATAGGGTGGGAGCGCAAGACAGGCGAGGCAGGACGAGCGGGAGGGACGGTGAGACCAGACGTGCGACGGAGGAGTCGGGTCAGGAGACAGAGGAGGGGACACAGGAGGGGAACGAGGGGGGAGACGGCCGGGGACGAGTCCGGCGGAGGGAACAGGGCCGTAGACAGGAAGAGGAGGAGACGGCGGGGGAACCGACGCAGGGTCGGGGGACGGAAGGCCGAGCAGG